TTTAGTGTGGCAAAATCAATCTCCATCCGTACTCCATTTATGCTTGTTCCTCTGTGAGTCTGGATCCCAGCGCTGCCAACCAATGTAGCGGAGATGCAATATTCCCCAGGTTATCTCCGCTTATAATCCAAGTGAGGCTCAGGAACAAGTAAATAGTAAATCCACAGGCAAGGTTTCCAGCAGGTAAAATAACAGCAATATCCCAACAGCAATCCCAATAACTGGACGACACACAGTTTCAGGAGCAGAACTGAAATCTTTAATCCACACTGTCCTTTTAAAGCATGCTCCCATGCAAGGGAGGGATTTACAATCATTAGTATAGTAGCCAATCCTGTCCTGGTAACCTCCCACACATCTCCTCCCCTCAGCCAGCATCATAATCCCCTTATCCAGTACAGTAATTCCCCCCGTTTCTGGATGTACCCCTAAACGTAGGGGTACCCCTTTAAATCCTACACCCCCTGATAGCCCTGATCTGGGTGAACAACATATCCAAAAATCACCCAGATCAGACCAGGGGTTCGGGAAATCTATGGAGGGAATAAAATGACCGACCGCACTGACTGAGACAGCCGAATGCGGTTCCATGCGAATGGGCCCTGCGGTCGGTCCTGGAGTAAGGGAACAAACTGCACAAAAGCCTCTAGCTATAGAGGCTAGGGAGGGTTCGCCTGAATCCCCTTGTTCGGTTCTTTCTATCTACCGAACGAGGGGCCGTTCGGTAGTTAGGAACCGAACGGACCGGGCTTGTGGAGGTTTCAGCGGTGTTTGCCTAGTCGAGTGTCCGATTTGAGTTCCAGACACTCGACGGCAAAACACCGCTGTTCGGGAGTTTTAAAATGGCCGCCGCCACGTGTTCGTTTTTCGAATGGCGGCCACCCCCGAGAACAAAGGACGGCTACTTCACTTGCCAATTACCCGTTCGCAACAATGTTGCAACGGTTAATTGAGAACACACTTCACACATGGGAGGTCTGACTGTTCGGTAGTTTCATTCGAATAAACTAAGGGAATGAAACGACCTAACATTCAGACGAATCCAATACATCAAATACATAGACTTTGCCATTTTCACACGAATGCATAGAATTACATGAATTGTTCAGGACAGCACAGGGCCATCCGCTACACTATGTACCTGCAAACTCTCCCCAGCTGATGACATCAAGCCTGAACAGAAGCCCAAAGCCGTTCAACCAAAAAAGAAGGATGCACACAACTACATCTAGTGCCAGTTTCTCTTAAAACAACTTTGAGTGGGAGAAATCCATAAAGGACCACTATAGGCACCCAGACCACTTCCGCTCAATGAAGTGGTCTGGGTGCCAGGTCCATCTTGGGTTAACCCTGCAGCTGTAAACATAGCAGTTTCAGAGAAACTGCTATGTTTACATTAGGGTTAATCCAGCCTCTAGTGGCTTTCTCATTGACAGCCGCTAGAGGTGCTTGCGCACTTCTCACTGTGATTTTCACAGTGAGAAGACGCTGCCGTCTATTAAGAAATGCATTCCTATGGACTGATTGAATGCGTGCGTGGCTCTTGTTGCGCATGCGCATTCGGCGGATGACGTTGGCAGAGGGAGGAGAGTCCCCAGCACCAAGGGAGAAAGGTAAGTGTTTAACCCCTTAACCACTCTTGAGCCCGGCGGAAGTAGGACCCTGAGGGTGGGGGGGACCTATTAACACTATAGTGCCAGGAAAACAAGTTTGTTTTCCTGGCACTATAGTGGTCCTTTAATCATTGATCCCAGTGTCAGAATAGTTAGGTCACTGCTGTCTCACATTGCCACTTACACAAACTTTGAGTTCGAGATAGATATTTCCGGTTTAATAATTGTTTTATTGCCCATAGAGTGAGATTGGTTGTTATATTACTGCCACTTGCACCAAGGTCAATTCACTGAGTTTGACAGATTGTTTGTTTTGTTAACTGTTTATAGAAAGAAAACACTTTTATATTTTTTGAGTGTGTTCAGTCCAGTGTGTGCTGTGCAAGTGTACTGTGTGCTGTACTGTGTATTGTTTAGTGTTTCTTAAAGGCATCCGGTAACACTCCTCTCACCTCCCCCCTCCCCCCAAAATTACTTATAATCTTTTTAAAGAGCATGAAATAAGAACAGGATTCTCTCACACCTGTAAATCTATTCTTTGGCATAAACCCTATTCCAAAAAAATTAATTGACAGGGAGAGCAGAAGAAACCTACCACAGGTTGTCCTTCTGCTCTATACATATAGCAAGCAACCAAAGTGATTTACCATGTTTGGGGAAACTTCCCCAAGTAGGGCAAATCAGTGAAGACTTCAGGAGGAGCACATGCAGGGCCGTCTTTAACAAGGGGCAAACGGGGCAGCTGCCCTGTGGGCCCCCTGCCCGCAGCCAGGTCTGAACAGCCCACCGGGATACTGAGAAATATCCCGGTGGGCTGCAGCAGTTGATGTAATCAGAGGCCCCCGGCCCTTTAAGAGAGCTCCTGACCGAGCCCCTGTCTTCCTGCCTGCTGGAAGTGTTGTGAGGTCACTTCCTCCCAATTAACAGAGTGCCCCTGGGGAGGAGGAGGCATACATGGAGAGCAGGAGGAGGTACAGACCAAGAAGAAGAATATTCCCATCAATCTCAGCCATCCAGCTCCCACTGGACCACAGGGAAGCCACACTTCTGTAAAGGTAAGGAGGGTGGCTAAACTATGTGAATTCATATGACTCTGTGTGTGTGTGTTTGTGTCAGTGTGTGTGTATATCTGACTGTGTGTGTGTGTGTGTATCTGACTATATGTATGTTTATCTGGCTGTATGTGTGTATATCTGACTGTGTGTTTGTATGTGTATCTGACTGTGTGTGTATTTCACTGTGTGTATATCTCAATGTGTGTGTATATCTCACTGTGTGTATATCTCACAGTGTGTGTATCTGGCTGTGTTTGTGTCTGACTGTGTGTGTGTGTGTGTGTGTGTATCTGACACTGTGTGTGTAAGTGTGTATCTGGCTGTTTGTGTCAGTGTGTTTATCTGGCTGTGTTTGTGTCAGTGTACATGTACCTTTGTGTCAGTGTTTATGTGTATCTGTGTGTATGTATACCTATGTGTCAGTTTGTATGTGTACCTGCTTGTCTGTGTATATGTACCTGTGTGTGTATGAGTGTCAGTATGTGTAAGTGTGTATCTGTGCGTGTGGCAATGCATACATCCCATCTAACATTGCACACAAATACAACCCTGCATTCCAACATTAACAATGCACACAAATACACCACTGCATGTGTATCTGTGTTCCTGTGTGTATCACTGTTTGTGTGAGAGTGTATCTGTGTGACAATGCATACATCCCAGCATTCCTACGCCAACACTGCACACAAATACATATGGATTTGTGTATATATCTGTGTCAGTGTGTGTAAGTGTGTATCTCTGTGTGTGGATGTGCCAGTGTTTTTATCTCTGTGTGTGCACGTGTACTTATGTATGTGGCTGTGTGTGTATACGCCAGTCTTTGTCAGTGTGTGCATGTCTCCAGATATGTGCATGTATCAGTGTGCTAATGTGTATGTATATCTGTGAATGTAGATCATACATCACGGCAACCAAACACAACATGCAACCACACCCCTATGCTTTCCGTAATAAAATCATCTTCATGCATGACAATGCACCATCTCATGCTGCAAAGAATACCTCTGCATCAATGGCTGCTATGGGGATAAAAGGAGAGAAAGTCATGGTGTGGCCTCCATCCTCCCCCGACCTCAATCCTATTGAGAACCTTTGGAGCATCCTCAAGCAAAAGATCTATGAGGGTAGGAGGCAGTTAACATCCAAACAGCAGCTCTGGGAGGCTATTCTGACATCTTGCAAACAAATTCAAGCAAAAACTGTCCAAAAACTCACAAGTTCAATGGATGCAAGACTTGTGAAACTTCTATCAAATAATGGGTCCTATGTTAAAATGTAATGTGACCTGTTAAAATGTTTAAAATGTTGTTAGAAGTTTGATTGAAATAGCTTTTGATTTCAGTAGATATACTGCAAACACAACAAATTACAATTTTCAGTTCTTTACAACCTATGAAGTGTTTTGAAACTTACTGTGCGTAATAATTTGGAATTTTATTAAAGGACACGGAGGCTCTTATTAGGCTTATCTCTTTCTTTTATTCCTCAGCAGCAAAGAAAGCTAAGGTGTTTATTTGTAGAAAAAAAAAAAACATGCATAAATACCCTCACAGGGTTAACCTTACATCATTATCTCTTAACCAATAGGAACAGTCCACCTCTGATATCCTCTCATGTAACCTCCTCCTCTTTCTCTTTCTTTGCTGCTGCCTCAGCTAAGTAACACCTTCATTTTCTTGATATGCATTGCTTAATTTGATTCTGTGATTTCTGTTGATTCTGTATTGTTGCTGCGGTATAACTCCTGACTACTGTGTTTCCCTCCCACTCTCAGCCCACCTGTGGGTTCACTCAGTGGGGGAGCCCCTCTCACGCTTCCCCGCCAGTTCCCCGACCCCCAGGGCGGGTATACCGGCTGTTCACCTCCCTATCGGGTAGTTTATTACCCGTCCTCCCACCCGCGGCACTCGAGCGCTGGGCGCAGGGAAACCCCTGGGAACGGTTCAAACTGTTCCCTGACGGGGTTTTTTCCTCGGCGCCAGTGCCCGCGAGTGAGTGCCGCACGCGCATGCGCATTTCCAGCCGCGACCCGTGGCGGCCATCTTAAAGGGGCAGCAGACATAAATTTTGCCGCTCTTTTTTCCCCCTCAGCTCGCTCAGCCCAGCAAGAGGGGGCGAGCTGATTGGTTTAGAGGTCTGCCTGTCAGCTTACCAGTGCTCCCAGAGGGCATTCCTGAGGGAACACTCGGTAAGCTAGCAGTGCAGCCTTTTTTTGTCCTGTCTTTGCCTTGTCTGACTGTCTACCCTGCCCTGCAGTGTGTAATTAACAGCCAAAGTTTTTACTGCCAGACTGTGTGAGTCCCATTATCCTGCCACTAAGTATCTAACTATGCAGGCCCCTAGTGAGCACCCAGTCTCTGGCCCCAGTGATGGTGAGGACACCAACGCCCACCACCGGGCCAAGATGTCTGAACCCCTAACCCTCCAAGGGGATGCGGTGGCTCCGCTGGAGCAGCTGGACTCGCAGGAGTTCCACTCACTCCTGGACGCCACCATGTCACGGTCGGTCACCCAGGCGATTTATTCTGCAATGGGGGCTATGTCCGACAATCTCTCTCACTCCATCACTACTGCTCTTAAGGCATCCACCACCAATTTGCCCCGCGCTAGAGCCGTGGCAGACGGGTCATTACGCAGGGAAGGCCGGAAGGCCATAAGCAAAACCCATCATGTGCAAACTCCTACCTCCAAAAAAGAATTGACGGACAGGGTACGTCCTGTCACCGCTGAGGTCGTGGGGCCCCCACGAAAGAGAGCCACCCGCCGGGCAAAAGCGGCGCGGACGTGGAAGAGGGCAAAAGCCCTGTCAGATTCTTCCGACACTGATTCGGATAGTGAGGAGGTTTTGAACGAGTCCGACGAGATCGACTCAAATGAATGGGAGGTCTCCTCCCCGGACCATAGTCCGCCACGAGATCCAAATACCCTAAGGTATGATAACGCGGATTCGTCCGCCATTTTGGATCCACAGGGCGAACCTCTGTTCGATCCCGATACATTACAGAATCCTAGGTCAGCGGAGTGGTTCCCAACTGAGCATGTGGCACGCTACATAGCAGCCAGAATCCGTAAGCCTTTGGATAAGGCCACCAGGAACAAGTTGCGGGCAGAATGCCCACGGCCAACAGTCCCCGACATGGCCTGTGCCACGCCGGATATAGATCCCAAGGTAGCGCAGTTCCTGGGAAAAACTGGCTGGAAGGCAAAGAAGGGATTACTCCCTACGCCACTGCCAGGACAAGGTACTCGATACACTCGGCCCTAGTGCCAAAATCTTCGAGCTGGTTGAAGCAGCCTTAACTGAGGGGACACCGTTAGATTTGCTAGCCATTAGAGGCTGGGCCCAGAGATCCATTTGCCTCATCGGCAACGCTAACGCTGCGCTAGCCACTGAGCGGCGCAAAACCATCCTTATGAAAATCGAGCCCAAGCTCGTAAACATGGCCCTCACCGAACCGGGGCCACAAGCCAAAGGTCTCCTATTCGGGGACAATTTTGTGAAGGAGTTAAGCACTTACGTAAGCACGTTTACGGCCCTAGACAAGGCACAGACAAGCATAAAAAGAGTGTTCTCTCCCAGAGTTTTTGGTGGGGCCGGCAGACACCGGGGCCGTCTGCCCGGCCGTTCATCCCGCGGTTCATACCGGGGATACCGAGGTCCCACTACGGCTAGATTTCAGCCGCCAGAAAACAGAGCACCCTCGCCCTTTTTTCCGGTCAGAGGCAGACCATGGCAACCTCGAGGAACCAGAGGCACCTCATACAGCCGACGGCCTTATGGTGAGTGCAATACCTTTCCCCTCCCCGGGTATACACAGCGTAGGGGGCAGACTGTTACACTTTATAGAGGTCTGGCAACACTTGACAACAGACTCTTGGGTCCTAAATACTGTAGTAGGGTACCGCATAGAGTTCGTACAACCCCCTGTCCAAACTACCTGGCCACACCGAATAACATTCTCCTCACACGACAGGGACCTGGTGACCAAAGAGATCCTCTCACTCCGAGAAAAAGGCGCAATATTTCAGGTTCCCTCACCCTTCCCGGGGTTCATGAGCAATCTATTTCTGGTACCCAAGAAGGGAGGCGGAGTCCGCCCAGTCATCAACTTGCGGCCCCTAAACGCATTTGTCCGATACCGCCATTTCAAAATGGAAGGTATCCACTGCTTATGAGACCTGCTCAGATTGGGGGACTGGATGGTCAAACTAGACCTGCAAGACGCCTACCTCACGATCCCTATAGCGGAAGAATGTCGCCACCTACTCCAATTCCAATGGCAAGGAGCGACATGGAGATTCCAATGCCTGCCCTTCGGACTCTCATCAGCCCCTTGGTGCTTCACCAAGCTCCTAAAACCAGTGGTTGCGTTATTGCGCAGCAGAGGCATACAGATGATCATATATCTGGACGATATGCTGCTCATGGTGCACGAGGCCTGCCAACTCCAACAGCATCTATCCTGGGCACTGACCCTGTTAAGAAATTTGGGATTCCTCATCAATTGGGAAAAATCGGTACTTACCCCATCTCAACACATGGAATTCCTGGGATTCCACATAGACGCAACGACCGGGACGCTCAGGTTACCAACAGACAAAGTCAAGAGCATAAAAAAGGAGATCCGCAGAACACTGACAAGACCAGTGTTAACTCTGCGACAACTAGCCAGGGTACTTGGACTCCTATCAGCCTCCATCCAGGCAATCTTCCCGGGGCCTCTACATTACAGGGCTCTGCAAAGGCTAAAAGCCTCACATCTACGCTCGGGGCACTCATACTCCGACTCCGTCCCACTCGACCACGCGGCCAAACAGGAACTCACCTGGTGGCTGCATCATATGGAAGCATGGAACGGCAGGGCTATCTTCGGAACTGCCCCGGACTTCATCATAGAATCCGACGCGAGCACACACGGTTGGGGAGCGCGCTGCGGGCCTACCTCCACCGGAGGCATCTGGTCACGCTCAGAGAAAGAGTTACACATCAACAGCCTGGAACTCATGGCGGGGTCATTCGCCCTGAGAAGCCTCCTCGGAACCGCAACCAACTGCTCCATTGTCCTGCGAATGGACAACATATCTGCAGTCCGATACATCAACCACCTCGGTGGCACGAAGTCAAGGATCCTGGCGGACTTGGCCAAAGACTTTTGGCAACATTGCCTGGCACGCAATATTTCGGTACAAGCGGAATACATCCCGGGCATGTCCAACATAGTGGCGGACTGGTACTCCAGACATCTGCGAGACACCAGCGACTGGCGGCTAGACCGCAGTGTGTTCTTACGACTTCAGACGCTCTGGGGCCCGATGCAAATCGATCTATTTGCGCCTCGTTTGAACTCCCAATTGCCAACATTCTTCAGCTGGAGGCCGGATCCAGACGCCCTGGCAGCGGACGCTTTTCTCCAACACTGGCCACACAACAGAGTGTATGCATTTCCTCCGTTCTCCCTCATAGCTCGAACACTGGTGCACCTCAGGCGGACTCAAACGTCATTGGTCCTCATAACCCCGTTTTGGACAGCTCAGCCGTGGTTCCCCACACTCATGGAGATGTCTATAGACCTTCCGAGACACTTACCAGACGTCTCATACCTTTTAGAAGATCCAGAGGGCAAACCACACCCCCTGTTGGTACAGGGGCAACTCAAACTTTTAGCATGGTTGCTTTCAGGGGACCATGGAGCGTCCCAGAGGTTCCACAGGAAACTATCGATCTACTGGCAGGAGCTTGGGCGCCTGGAACGAGACGCTCCTACCTCTATGCCTGGAACGGATGGAGTAGTTGGTGCATGGAACAGCAGGTGGATCCCATATGTGCTCCTATAAATTACCTGTTGCGCTTCCTTACCAACCTATACAATCAAGGTTTGGCCTATCGCACCATCAACGTGTACAGGTCTGCAATCTCAGCGGGACACCGGGGAATAGATGGGACCCCAGTGGGTCAACAACAATTGGTATGCCGTCTCCTACGAGGTATTCGGTTTGCTCGTCCACCGCAACCCCGATACACGTCTCTATGGGAAGTCAACTCAGTTTTGCAACTGTTGGAAACTTGGCCACACAATGAGACACTCACACTGAAACAACTGTCAGCGAAACTAGTCATGCTCCTCTGCTTGATCTCTTGTAAGAGAGTGTCAGACGTCAGAGCGTTGGACGTTGATGCAAGATCCTTTACTCCCACGGGGGTTTCATTCAACATCTCCAGACGTACAAAGTCATCAATTACCTCAGTTTCGTATCCAGCATTCCAGCATAACCGTAAACTCTGCCCGGTGTTTTGCTTGAAGGAATACGAGACAAGGACCCTGGAATTCAGAAACCCGATGCACCCGGAATTGTTTTTAGCTATCAAACAACCCCACCATCCCGTATCCACGGTAACTCTCGCCAGATGGGTGAGATGGATAATGGCCTTAGCCCACATAGATACAACTGTATATGGTGCACACTCTACCAGGGGGGCCATGGCTTCAAAGGCTTTTAATTTAGGTTGTAAATTGGAAGATATCATGAAAACAGCAGACTGGTCTAGGGCATCGACATTTAAGGAATACTACTTTCGACCTACAGAACATTTGTCAAGTTTAGTTATTGCACAGCTTTAAACTAGCCTAATAAGAGCCTCCGTGTCCTTTAATAAAATTACCAGATTTTACTAATTACATGACGTAAAGTCATGATTTTATAAAGGACACGGAGGCGAGTATTAGCCCACCCAGGGCAGATACAACAAAACATTTGTATCCCAACCCAGGTACGTAATAGGGACTTTTTTTCGTAAAATGAGTTATCATTGATATAGGGTATATGTGTTACGCTATGGTAAATCTATCAAACAAGGAATGATTGCATGTTTAATATATGACTGATTACATAAACAGCTCACCTTTTAATACCATAGTAAGATGAAAATAGTTGGCAAGGACACGTTTTACCATTTGTTTTCTTTGTCTTTCCAGCCTGAAACACAGCTCAAAGATACCCACTGATGACGGGAAATAATCCCGCAGTTTTGAGAGGATCAATTCCGGAATATCCCGCGTTATTTGTGGACGGATTCATCTTCAACGTCAAGTATCCAGTTATCAACCGTTGTGTGTTTTGGTTATAACGAATTTTGTTACATGCTAATGGTGATTTGTTCGCTTCGGCATCATCAAGAAAGAGGAAGAGGAGGAGGTTACATGAGAGGATATCAGAGGTGGACTGTTCCTATTGGTTAAGAGATAATGATGTAAGGTTAACCCTGTGAGGGTATTTATGCATGTTTTTTTTCTACAAATAAACACCTTAGCTTTCTTTGCTGCTGAGGAATAAAAGAAAGAGATAAGCCTAATAGGAGCCTCCGTGTCCTTTAATAAA